TCCCGCGTGAGATCGCTGAGGAGATGCCAGATCCTTCGTTTTCAAAGACAATAATAATAGTATCTTTAATCCACGATGTTGAGAAATGTTTCCAGGTCCTATGAAGACAATCACACCTGGGCGGCTTGGAAGATAACCCTCTGGAGAGGTCGGATCTGGCAAGGACCGACGCCGGGTAGATCTGCCCTGCGGTCCTCAGGCTGGGGTGGTTTCAGAACCAAGCCTTTACCTGGTGGGTGTCGTCTTTCCTCCTCGTCTTCCCTCTGTCCCTGAACCCCCACCCGCCCCAAAATACCCAGTCTCCTTCCTGTGCGCTGGTCTGTCAAAGGGGCCTGGCCACTGTCTCAGAAGTGGGACAAAGACCGCATGCCCGAGGTAAGAGCTTTGAATCTGCTGAAGGCAACGGGCATCCTCTAGTCTAGTCCCTTACACGGGATCGGGCCCTCCCTACAGCCTCCTCTCCTCTGCGTGCTCTGGCTGAGCTGTCAGGGATCTTCCCTGAAGTGAACTCCTCGCGCCGTGCTCCATGCCCGGTGCTTGGAAGCTCCCGGACTCCCACGGAAACGATGCTCCAGGACAACAAGCCGGGGTAGAGTTTACCACCGATCTCAATGTGCAGGGAGGCTGTTCCGGGCTGTTTGGAAGGTGCATGCACCCACGGAGCCTTCAGGCTTTAAGACGGAGCTCACCGCCACCGCGTCATAACTCAGGGCGCCCCCAAACTGCCCCCTGTTTTATCCCACAGCTCCCCTGGCTGCCATGGGGCTGGAGAGGCAGGGATGCCATTCGAAGGACTGTGCTAGCGGAGCCATCGGCGCTGTGCAGGGGGTGTATAACGCTGTCCCTGTGTGCCCATGCAGAAGCGGGAAGCGTAGACTGTCACAACGGAGCTGTAAACATAATCGCTCCCTTCAGACCGGTCAGTCCGGGACAGAGTGCCTGAATAACCCGCTTTCTATGTAGCAGCAACTGGAGATGGCTACCTAGTCCCCGGGCAGCAGGGTAGAGAGTCATTTTGGGGGGATCCTGCCCCGTCTGTTACCAAGCCCGGGATCCAAGTCCTCTTCCCTCCTCCCCACTTGCTTAAAACAAAATGGACTGCTTTGAAAAGCCCTTCCAGACCAGCAATCCCGGGAAAGGCGGAGCGGCGGGCACACGGGAGACACAAGCAAAGAGAATCTAGTTTAGAAATTGTGATGGGTGATGTTAAAGCTACTGACATAATTATCTCTGGTTTATTAAGACTTTTTTTTACGACATGGTTAGAGGTGGATGCTTCGGAGAGAAGGAAATAATCGGCGCATTATTCCGGAGGGAGGGGAGGACAAGTTGGTGCCTCGAGAGCAGGTGGCCCAGGGAAGTGGCGAGGAGGGCAGGGATGAAGGGTGTCAGTGCAGGCTCCGTGTGCCCGGCCACCTCTCAGCCAGCATCTTCGGGATCCGCCTGGCCCCTCTCTGCACCTGTCAAGGACCGGAGACCAAAGCATACAGCTGATCCCGATCTTGCGCCCATGAAATTCGGGCTAGATCGGGGCTTTTCCTCAGTGGAGGGCAGGATAGGGCCAGGGGGCAGAGTCGCTGATATCCACACAGCTTCTCTGCTTCCCTTTCAGACCAAAAGGGGTGGTAAGAACAGCACATGTCCGCGGAGCTCCTTTCAAGGAGGGTGAGTTAATTCCGGAAAAGGGACACAAACCAGGCTTTTGGGCTCAGCAGAAGCCAGGTTCCTCGATGTCTTTTTATTCTCTCATGGGGATGCCATCAGGGCAACCAGCGACACCGGAGCTTGTGATTTACGGCTCTTGTGGCGAAGGACCTACGTATTTAAGTCTCTACAGGTTCTCAGACTCCCCTAGAGAAGAGTCATGTAGTTCATGAAACAAACTGAGAATAACCGGGGGGGCGGAGATTCACGGGGCTTCCCGCCCCCCACCTTACTGCGTCTGTCCGCTTGCCTGAAGATGGGCTTTGCTTAGGACAGTTCAATCAAACTAGCAGAGGATTTGAAGGATGCTCGTTAATCTGGAGTCTTTGCCTTCTGCTGGGGTTGCGAAAGGGTCACTTAAAAAGTTGCAGCGAGGGTTTCATGGGTTCAGTTACGTCGAGTGTCAACCTGCTTTTTCTCTGAATTCCCATCTCCTGCCGAAAGGGAACAACTAGGTCACGACCATGCTTTCGGATAGGGAAAATAATTACGTTTGTATTTTTACCCTGGTGTCCTGAAACTCTAAGGACTGCTCAGAAAGAGGAGGACCCCAGGGGAGCATTTTCCCATCGGGTGAAATGTGGGGAGTGGGATGTACTGATCAAGAGGATGGTGTGGAGAGCGAGTTGATCCCGTTGTAGGCGGAAGATGGGAAACAAAGTACCTTGCCGCCCATAAGCTGACTTGCTGCTCCTAGCATCTGTGGGCTCATATTTCCATTAACACTCACCCACAGCCCTCCCTGCCCCTCCCCGTCCTGAGGCTGACCGGTCCCTGCCCTTTCCAGAAGGGCAGTGGCTCTAACCAGCGGCTTGTGCCCCGCATGGGACAGCTTGTGTCTATCGGGGAAGTGCAAGCAATGGCTTGAGCGTGCAACGCCTCGTTTCACCCAGTGACCCTGCCCCGAAAAACCCCTCCAGCCATTAGAGGCATCGCGATGCCCATCCCCCAAAAGTGTTGGCTCCTAAAGAACTGGCCCAGAGTGATCCCATC